TTTGCTACAGAAAATGTAAATTCTAACTGGCTTTTATCCTAGACTCCAGTAGACTAGAATCGTCAAATTATTGTTACTATTTGTACACGAAGCATTGGCTAAAATTCTGGTTTCACTTCTCGACTAGCAGTGTAAGAAAATAGCTGATACCTTCATTCGTGATGTACTGTATCGTCATTGAAACATCCGCCAGATTTTTTGCTGCTAAAATACGAAGCAAGGATGGATTCCCTGGGTCGCTATAGAGCTTCATAGCTTCACCGATTTGAGATGACGATAGCTTGCGACAGCTTAGACGTGTTATGAATGTCGCTGTTCGAAGAAAAGCGAAAGAACTGACTCCACCAAAAACTGGAGACATCTGGTGAAACCAGTTTTTCGTGAATTAAATAAACCAGATTGAAGATTTGATGAAGACTGGAACGAGTTTCTGCGGCCACACACCAAAATAGGTCGGGTTCACAAAAACTCCATTGCGCATCGAAACAAGAAAACTAAAAAAGCATCTTTCAGGACCATATGGATGACCTCTAACATTGGTGCATGCCTACTTTCATTTTTTCCCTCTCCTCTTACGATTAACTTTATGATGTAAAATGGCTTCATGGTTGGTGAAAATATTGTTCGATCAAAGAAGATACAAAATTAGATTTTTGATATTGGATGGATCCTCATATTGAAATTGATTGTTTTTTTTTTCATGCTTGGAACCCAGTTTTAGGAAGTAGATAGGCGCTGTGTTTAGGGATCGTTATAACCCTGTCTGATTTCTTCCCAGATATAGTCTCCAAAGATGTAGTTTTGTATCATCTCTTTTGGAAAACCACCTTGTACTAGTTATTCTCCTTCTCAACTTTCTCAATAACTTTTTAAGGTCTGCAGGGAAATGCAAACTTTGCTCAACTCAGATCACAGTAATTCGGTATACGATGTGGGGTATTTCATAGCCTTTGGGTATCTCCTGCGATAGTACTTTGGAACAAATAGAGCAGTGCTTAGCCTCGCTCTTGATATCGATCTAACTTTACTTAGGTTTTTAATACTTTTTTTATTCCTCAATAGTTACTTTTAGTAGACTGTGGTGAGCTATGAGCTGTGAATCTTAGAAATTTGGTAAATAGTCTTCCCATAACCATACCAACTCGTCACCCTTCACCGAAATTCAGTTGATAGATCCGTGATTACCGTCACGAATATGGGACAAGGTTCTTACCAAAATTGATGTATGTGAAGAAATGGAGAGAGGAATATTTGTGAACTGTAAACACATAAATGAAAACTGTTCAAAATTTATCACCTATTAATGCACCATGAGATGACTCTTTTCGATACCTGTAAAGATATTTTTATTTCATTCATTGAATCGACCATGGACAGTTACTTTCCGTTTGACATGGTTTCAGTCTCGAGCCTTTTATTTTTGTCATTCGTTATCATTAAAATTCGGTAGTTATTATAGTACCAGGCTGAATCAATCTTAATTGCTTCAAAGGGACCACTCTTATCGAGCACTTTCTGCTCTGCCTTGGTAAACTCAGTCATCTAGTAAGCCAGCTCCTTAGGTACTTCCCAGGAAAAACCTGGCTTGAAATGACCGTAGACGCATGCCTCCTGGTAGATGGGTCTCTTTAAGTCAAGGTCCCTGTAGAACAACAAACAGATATATAATTCATAAAATGCCAGTAGTAGAAAAGTGACAATATCTATAAAGCTTGAAGAGCTGGTAAGACATTGAGATGATAGTAAGTATATACGAAAAAAAGCTTGTCAGGTGGCTAAAAAAAACCTTTCCACCGCCTTATAAAAATGTTCAGTTCACACCTGACTATCACGCCAGGACGAAGATCAAAGTTTCTCTTGATAATTTCCAAGAGCTCGTCTTCAGACATCGTGCCTGTTCCGTAAGAGAACACAGTGATTGAAAGAGGTTCGGCAATACCGATGGCATACGAGACTTGGATCAAGACTCGGCGGCACAGCCCGGCTGCCACAAGAGACTTAGCAATCCACCTGGCGGCATAACAACCAGATCGGTCCACCTAACAGATAAAACAAAAATGGATTAATTTGCTGCTCCCATTCGGATAAATGGCTCTGTGTTTTCAGTCAAATCCAAACCTTTACAAAAACATGTTTTGATGGTTATGAGAAAAGTATTTTAGTATTTTCAAGAGTCTTAAAGGTAAAATAAAGCTAATTTTGGAGGCAGAGACTCAGTGAACTGTTTCAGAAGGAAAGGATATCAAGGAAACAAACCTTAGAGAAGTCCTTCCCAGAGAAAGCACCTCCCCCATGAGCCCCCCATCCACCATAGGTGTCGACAATGATCTTCCTTCCTGTCAAACCTGCGTCACCTTGGGGGCCTCCGATCACAAATGTACCAGAAGGTTGCAGATGGTAAATTGTTTTGCCATCAAGATATTTGGCCGGGACGACTTCCTGGAAAAATCGATTTGGTAAAAAGGGGAAAATGGGCTTTGAAAAGTGCACCCACACAATATAT